TTTGGGTACTGCGAGAAAAACAAAACATAGAGAATTGAGCAACCACTTTAATACCATTCTTTTCCCTTTCCCAGGCTCCAGACAATGCTCCAGCCCCATGCTAGGTGCTGCAGTCAGGAAAGACCTGATCCAAACCCATGCAGTGATGCTCCAGACTGCAGCATCCCCAATGGACAAGATACTGGCATGGATCACACGCTTGCTGTGCTGCCTTAAACCTCAGGCTGCAGAGAAGGGATGGATGCTGGCCCTGGTTAAACTAAGAGGAAGCCTAGGAGGGCTGGCTGAACAGCATGCTACCATTTAGGAATATCAAAATAAAGGCTCCTACCTTACAAAGGCAAGTTTTTTTAGACACAAATTGCAACTTCAAGCACATATTACATGTTTCACAAGGAACCGCCTAAAGCTGCGTTAAAAGACCTGGGATGCTTTGGGTTTTTTAAATTCTAGAGCACATGGAATTCATTCAGCTCAGCTCCACATATGAGGCCAGAGAAGAGAAACGCCATCACAAGGTACCACATGGCTTGGACAAGGCTCAGCCATCTCTTACCAACCATCCTTTGTACTCACAGCAAACACAGGCAAGTGCTTATTATTCACCTGTGGCTTAATTGCCCTCCTCACTCAAAGTCATCAGAGCAAGAGCAGAGATGCATCTAACAGCTCTGAACACCAGCAGTTTGCTTATGACAGCCCAACCATTTTCGCTAGCAATTATCAACAGCCAGATAGCATCAGCAACCCAACCTGAGAGTGCTTGTGCAGCTCCTCCTCCTCATGCCATCGCTTCTCAAGAAGGTTTTCCACAGCCACTCTGAGTTTCAGGACTCAGACACCAGGGGAGAAGCAGCCCAGCAGCCTGTGGATGGATGAAGATGACCTTCATGTTTGATGCAGGAGTTCATCTGCCTATCTGTAGCATCTCAGAGATGACAACAAAGTCCCAAATCGCTCCATGTAGTGAGCTGCAGATGAAACCACTCCATGCAGACCTCAAATTTAGGTTGCCCTTCTTTATGCTGAGCTTCTACTGGATTCTTAAATAGCAGCATTTCTGTCTATTCCTGTGTACAGTTCCTTTTATGCTTCTTGTCCAAACCCAGTTTTCTGAAAAGCTGAGATCTCACAAATTGCATTCCCAATTGCTTTCCAAAAGCAGGTGACATCCCTGTGCCTTGGAAAAGCCCTTGCAAGATACACCCAGTTCTAAAATCATATCCACTTGACACCAAAATCCACCATCAGACACAAATCCAGCAGAGCACAGGCTGCCAATCCCTTTTCCCCTCCCCACAGCAACACATCTTTGGCTGAAAAAGTTTCTGCAACTACAAATGCCTTCAAGAAATTGTTACAAAAGTTTATTGAGAGATGGTCATATAAAAAAATATATTCTTGAGGAGAGCTGCAGCTGAAAATACCGAATCCCCACACCCACTCTTCAGAGAAAATATTATCAGATGTCACTTCCCAACGTTAAAAACATATTTGTTTGTTTCTTTTTAAATTAAGGTTGTACTGTGAACACTGAATTTTGTTGCTAGTGATCTCAACATGGGTACCATCAATCCTGACGTCCTTTGCTGTTAATTCAATCCCAATCCATGCTTTCTGAATTGCAGGGAAATAGCATCTAGCCACCTGTACTGAGCTGGGGAGTGCTTGTGTCATCCAGATTTATCTTTATTTTTTATAGTTCAGGATATCGAGGCGGAGAACGTGGGAAGGAGACAACGTCAACAAGCAGAGCAGCAGCAGTGCAGAATGAGCATCAGCACATGTGGGTTAGAAAGCATGTCTCACCCAAACCTGAGCTGGGTTTGGTAGGGAATCCTCTGTATGGGCAGGCTAAAGGGGAAGCTCAGCTGCTGCCCAAACTTCTGGAGGAGGTCTTCAATGTTCAGAGGGCACCAAGAGCCACCCCATGCCCCTCTTTGCGAGTACAACCACAGAAAGACGTGGCTCACGTAGTGCCCATAGGTACAACCTGCAGAAGGAGACGATTTATGCAGAGACAGGCATTTGTTCAATAAATACTACATATGGCCTTCTGCTAATTTGTAACAGTTCATCAACTCTGCTCATTTCACAGGACCCCTGCAGTGCTACGCATTAATAATAAAACACATTTTTTCTGACAGCTCAAGGAATATTTTTAACACGAAAGTGTCAGCATTATCCTCCCAAAGCTGAGCCATCCTGGCTGACAGCCTCATCACGTTACATGCAGAAACCAAGTGGGGCTCTGAGCATACCTCACTCGCACCATACAAGCCCTCCAAAAAACACATCTGAGCCCCAACATCAGAGCTGCCAAAAGCAGTGCACACCAAAAAGCATCACCTGCCACAGCAGAACAGTCTAGCACAGGCAAAGGCCATGCTTACTGCTTATAAAAAGGACAAGAAACAGCTTAAGTCAGAGCCTCTGGCTTACCAATTTGCTTTAAAGAGTGGCTATCTCATTCAGCTTGTCCTTACTAAAGGTTGTTGGCAAATTCAAATTCTAATATGAGCATGGAACAGGTTAGGAACAAGCCTCTTGCTCGGCAAAAGGGTGAAATACAAGAGATGGGGGAAAAAAGTAGAGTACTAATAAATTTTTTGGCCTTCTAACCCTTCACATATATACACTGTGTCCCCATTAGTAACTCTCAGAGATGTCAAGAAATAAAACTGAAATTCTTCTGGTTCCTTACTCTGGTGCCCAGTCCACTGGTTCCATTCCAGGCCAGCACCTTGCTATCCTATGTTCTCACTGCCCTTTGGGGGATGCATCCAGAAACCCTCCCGAAGAAGAGCAGAGCCTGAGCAGCTGCTACCTGCAGCAATGAAAAAACTCTTGAAAGAACTAACCTGGAAAGTGATGAGCAGGAGAACAGGCAGAGCTATGGCATCAGCCTTTAAAAAATTCTTTCAGATGAACCTGAGAGTGGGGTGAGGAGAGAGCAACCTAAGCCCTGCTGTGTGACCTTCCCTGTGCTGTCCTCAAGGAGATCCCGAAGGATGTCCCGACTGTGATGCAGCCCCAAGGCCACAGCCTCCCCTCTGCACACGCAACCCAGAGCAACTCAGAGAACTTGCCCACATGGTGACATCACTGGGCGTCTAAATAAAGGAAGCTTTTAATAGAATTTCCCACTGACGGGCTTAATCTGGTAAGCCCTGAAAGCCAGGGCTTCGTCAAGGGAAGGAAGGAAAAGGGAAAACAATAACCACCCATCTTGGGGCCAGGCAGGTAGGCGGCGCCTTGGGAAAGAAACCAAAACAAACAGAATTGACTGTCCAGTACCTGTGCATGGGATACGAGGCACCTGCATAAGCAGCACTTATTGTCAGGGAGTTCTCTATGAATTCATTTATTTTTCTTTTTAAAACAAAAAACAGCTCAGTCTATTTCTGCACCAGGGTAGGGAAGAGAAGGATGAAGATGAGGAGAGGTACAATGAGGATAGGGAGAGAAAAAGCTGAGCTTGAAGACTGAATAACACACACTTTCACATCAGAGGGTCCTTCTGGCTTCATGTTCATGGGGCAGGTTCTGTGATTCCTAAAAGCAAACCAGAGTTGTCTGCATATTTAGATGGCTCCTCGCTGCAAATACTTCCAGGACAAACCATCGGCAAGCAGCACGTCCTGGAAGCTCTCACAAAACACCAACGAAACCAAAACCGCCCAGAGGTTCAGTCAAGTTCACACGTTGTGCTCGTCATCCTCTTCTGCGTAACTCTTTATCAGTTTCACAGTACCACGGAGCAGTTCCCCTTCCTCCCTCTGCTCCTCCAGCATCTTAGGCCGGGCATCCACATGGAGCGCCTCGCGATCGCCAAGTGACTCATGCTGCAGTAATGCGGGTGGGAACGGCTCCCATGCCCGGCCTGTAAGGACACAGCCTTTTATGGTATTTTTAGAGTGGAAGTTGTGGTGGTTCGTAGCACATCGCCTTTTGTTTTGCCTGGGAGAACAGAGCTCACACTGCCTGTGCCCCAGGACCAACAGTGAGGAGCTCGCACAGGTTAGGAGCGAGACAGTGCTGCTCTCTGTGGTCTCCCTTGCCTGCAGTGCCACTTGCTCCACATGGCAGGGGCATGGCTCTGGCCACAGCTCCAACACAAGGACACAGATTGTGCAGTGGACACTCTAATTGTGGCATTAAAGTGTCATTAAATGTGGCTATTTTGTAAGGATCCCTTCCCTGCATCCCCTGAGCTCTGCCACCCTGTGTATGGCAGTAGGCTAATGGCCCTGGTGACAGTCACCAGGGGAGAAGCACAAGGGGAAGCACACACTGGGCTTGCAGCATCTAACAGGTGGATGGTGCTGCAAAGGCAACTGAGTCCCATCTCATCTGCCTTTCTCTCGGTGCGAGCTGAAACTTGGGACTGCGTCTCTCTACTTAGCCAGCAACCATAAAATCAACTCTTTAGTCTTCCATCCTGTAATATTTATCTGAAATGTTATTAGGAAAAAGCAGGCGGGTGTTGTGCTGAGAGCAGGTTACCAGAGACACAGACACTGAGCATGCAGGAGGAGCATTGCTCCCCAGGTCCAGGGACCTCAGCACACGTGGCATGAGGTTGGCAAGGCAACAGAGCCTGCTCGGGGTGCTCTTCAGGAGCTAATAGTCACACCAGGGATAACAGAGCATCCCAAACACTGAAACAGGATTCTGATTTTAAATATGCAGCAGATCACTTTATGGGCAGCTCTCTGCTCCTTCCCACCTGATGCACTACCTGCTCTGGTAGAGAAGGGAATGACAATTTCTTCTTCTTCTTCACGTATCTCCAGTCACAACTCCAAACAGCAGCTGATTTTAATCCTTTCAAAACTGTTATTCAAGAAGAAATTAGATGATAACCTGTACATGCACAAGAAGACTAGAAGAAGAGCCATCAGGATGAAGGTAGTAGTAATCGATCCTCCTGATACAAAGCACTGACATCAAGTTTTCCTTTCACCAGTACCAGGCAGCAGTGGAAGCAGCTGGCTTACCGTGGGATGGGTTACGGAGCTCACCGCAGCACGGCAGAGGAAGTGCAGGGAGCACCGCTCCGGGGCGAGGGCTGGAGCACAGCAGACAAAGCAGAGGGGAAGTCGGGGGGGAGTTACGCACCAGAGAGCGCACAGCCCACTACGAACCTTGGAGGCAAGCCAGGAAGGCAAAGTCTAAAAACAGCAGCACAACTCACAGCAAACCCCTCCAGCCTTAAATGCTAGTTGAATGAGAACCTTAACGGTGATTTGGTGCAGTTGCAGCATCCACTGCCCACAGCACTATTCATTGCCCCAGAGCCCGGCTGCTGGGTAGGCACACGTCCAAATGAGGGCACGGTCCTGCCCCTCGCTGCACAAATCCCCAGTGTGTTTTTTGAACTTGCACGTGCCCGACGCATGCCGACATTCGCAACGCATCGCGCTGCTGATGATCTCAGAGCCGATCTGCAACCGCCACTTTTGGTCTCCCACGGGCACAGGCAGAACTCCCCAGATGGTCTAGGAGAGAGCCTGCTGCTCCCTCATGCATCTCCAAGCTCAGGGAGTCTTCCTGCAGCTAGGCAATGCATAGAGACTTCAGAACTGAAGTTCAAAAAAAAAAAAAGAAAAGACCATGTGAAAGGCTCCATCCTGTTCGAAGGAACACAATGAATTTCCTGCAGTCTTCAATGGCTACATATAAAGCTAAAAGCCTTGCCACAAGGACCACAACACCCAGACACTAACTCACCTTACTTCTCAGTCCTGCAGAGCCAGCTTAGCCACAGGAAAACAACATTAACTCTTTCTGGCCCCATTTCTCATAATCCAACCAGTGGCTGTGTACAAGCAAAGCAAGCCACTCACCTTTCACAATCCTTCATTTGGACCAGCATTATCAAATCTGATTAAAAAAATACCAACAACAGGAAGGAAAACAAATGCAGAATAGCACTGAACAAAACAACAAACCCAAAACTCCTCTGTCCAGGAAATGAGTACACCCAACACTTATCTGGGACTCAGAACTCCTACCCTTGGCCCCCCTGCCCTTGACACACTCATACCGGACTGGGCAAAGGGAAACCTCCTGCTTGGCCCCCTAAATCTGACAGCCTGCTTGATGCAGGTGTGCTTTATACCAATTCATAACAGCACTTTGATAGTGAACACCCACAAAATAGAGCTTTCCCCAGCCAGCAGGTTTCTTCGCAAGCCTAAAAGCATCAGGCATCAATTCCTACAAAGTCTTAATGCAGATGCTGGGCTGGGACACAGGGAGCAACCTTGGCTCTGATGCAGCCCAGCTATCGGCTCAAAAGGAGCAAAATCAGCCATGCTGAGCACAAGCTGCTGCTCCTGGAAGTGGCACATTGATCACGCTGGGCACCACCTCACCCCTGAGCCGTCAGTGGCTGGAGCTGGTCTGCAAATTGCACACTGACAGAAGGCTTCAGAAGCCTTGCACAAGAAAGCAGAATGAAATAAAACGTCAACAGGGCTGGTTCTCCCCAACGTGTAATTTTTCCCCAGGCAGTACGGCACAGTGTGAATGTGGCATAATGTTGGGCAGGGAAAGGCAGGACATGGCACTATGCTGGCACATGGGAACGCCCCACAGCAGGCTCTCTTTGCCCAGTGGTAGTCTGTGCAGTCCCAACACAAAGCCTCTAAGTGCATTTCAGGCTCAAAAGTCAGCTGAAACAGGTCCATTCTCCCCTCCCACTCCATAAATACGATCCAAATTGGGTCATCTCCTAACAATATATGAATGACATTCATTTAAGCCTCTGATGCCGTGCTGACATAAGCTGTGTCCTTTCATTCTCCTTGCACTGTGAGTGCTAAAGATGCTTTTGTACAACCCCTGAAGTACTCCATTTAAAAACCATGGTAACTAGAGCATTGCATTCAGTTGCTCTTGAAAAAAGCCAGTCCCCTTTTCCCACAATAGGCTCTTGGATAGCTCAGGGACAGGCAGAAAAACACTGCTTGATTCACACTACTTGGCCCAATGGCTGAAGGTGGGATGCTGTTGTGCATCACTCACAAAGTGCTGGGGATCCCTTGAATGCTGGGGTCAACTTGTGTCCAAGGCAAGACAAGGCCTGCAGTGTTGGGTGTTGTTCCATAGATCTCCTACCTGGTTCATGCAGCCAAGAAGCAGCCAGAAGTCAGCACAGCTGCAGCATTAGATGGGCAATTCCATGAATGATTCCTTTCCAATATCCCAGTGCAGCAGGCAGTGAAGAGGAGAAGAAGCAAGTCTTGCTGTTATCTTTACACAGCAGCAACAGTTGAGTGAGTTTTAGTGAGGATTTTCTTGCTAGTCACAACTCTTAGACATTAAAAACACTTCTGCATTTCAGAATTTGGAAGTCTGTCTGCTGGCACCAGCGGTGTCCTCCTTTCTGAAATGGAAATATTCAGACGTGTGGGCACAGAGATCGGATGGAAAGAACAGGGCAGCTCCCACTAAATACACCATTAAGTGGGAAAATCTAAAGTGAAGAGGCCCTCTCAAAGAAGGGACATTTGTCTAAGATGGAAGGCCCAATTATTTGTTTTTCTTTAAAAGGAAAAATATTCATAGCTCTGCATTCATTACAAAAATCACACGCACCAGCAGCAGAAAGTCTAACGCCTTAAACATGACCTCATTGCTGCACCTCCCCTGCATGCCATTTTAGCAGACTTTTTTTTTTTTTTTCCAAATCCAACTGCACACTGTTACGGAGCCACGTTCCAAGATTTAAGATTTTAAAATTAGAAGTCTTTAACCCCAACGTCTGCAAAAACACCCTGCCAAAAAAAAATGGCACAGCATGAAAAACGAAGTCTACCCTGTTAGGCAGCTTATTCCAGGAGTGACGCACAGCACAACACTCTGTGCCTGTCTGTAGGACCCGAACCAGATGCAGGGGATGTGAGATGTGCTCCCATTTCAACACAGCATGTTTCAAGTCGTTGCAGATTAGCTCAGGGTTGCTGTACACCAGCCCAAGGAAGAGGCCAAGGGCATATCAACAACAGAATGTGCACTCACTTGCTGGAGATGCAAGCTTGTTAGAAGGCAGCATAACGTCCTGCCTTAAAGAACACCTTTATGAAAAGGAAAACCAAGGCACATAATGCTTAACTGATTTCCCATGCAGCCAGATGAAATGAGACTTCATCAGCCAAGCAGAGGCATAGCTGAACAGTGGGCCACAGATAAACCATGCCATGTAGGTCAGTACACAAACCTACGAGAGCCTTCCTGTTTGTCTGTGCCGCTGTATCTAATGCCCAAGCCTGCTTACTGATGGAGGTGTATTTCCTGTGGGATGCTCCTTATGTTCTGGACTGCTCCCTCCAGCTTTCATGTAAAAAACAAGGCACAGCTTCAGCAGAGGAAGCAAGGACTGAGCATTTCAGCTCCCAGTACCTGACTGGTGCAACTGCTGGTTTATGGGATTTTCCACTTCAAAAAAAAGTAAGTTTCTTCTGGCTAACAAAGCATCATCTTTCCTAAGACAGATGGCTCTTATGAGAGAAGGGAAAGAGGTGAAACAAGGACAAGCTTTGATCAGTTAACTCTGAATTCCCTAGTTCTGCTGCTCTGCTCAATACATAGCCTTAGTTTTCAGCAGGCCTAAAAACAGGAGGAAGCTTGTAACAGAAAACAAGAAAACCATTTGGGGAAATTCTCACCATCCACAGTCTGCTCCACAACAGCCTGTCAGTGCCTGTTATTATGTTCATGAGAGTTTTGTTTACGAAAGAGCTACACTCTTTGAAGTCCAAAAGCAAAACACTGTGGTGGATCACAAAATATTAATCATGTAGCTGATCGCACAGTGTTTGGGTTGGGTTAGTAACCTGCTGTCAGAAAAAATAAGTTTGCTCACAGTCAGGTTTATGAGCATTTTAGCAACGTTAGCCTCCTCCTTCAAGCAAGCTGCCCAGAGGCTTCCCAGACCTGCCCCCCCACCGCATTTCCTGGCTGCTGTGGTTAAAGACATCTCTGTAACATGTGCTTTGACAAACACTCTGGCAAGTAGGGCTGCTTCAACCTGTGGTAGGGCTTCTCCATCCCTGCTGACAGGCACTACAGTGCTGCTCTACCTTCCTTTCCCTGTGGGTCAAACACCTTAGTAAATGAAGATTTCCCAGTTGGCTAAGAGTATCACTGGGAGCCTGCTCCAGGATCACAAGGACACCAGGCTCCTGATTGCAGAGGTCTGGCAGTCACTTTCCTTGAAGCATAACATCTGTGATCTTTTGTCCATACTCTGTTCCTCCAGCCAGAGGAAGGGCAGTCAGAGGGAAAGGAAAAGGAAAGTCAAAGCTCAACGCTATGAGCAAACTTTGGTTCTGTGTTGCCACAAGGTTCTTCAATGGCATGAAAGAAATAAAAAATTCCTTGCATTTGCAGCAAGAGATGGAGAAGTCTGCAGTGACTTTGGTTTCAAGAGGAACACAGTGTTTCCCAAGCCAATGCGTGTAGCAGCTCCAGACATTGTGGCTCTGGAGGTGAGCCTGGTTCCTAATCCCAGCCCCTGTTGGCAAGCAGTTATGCTGACACGTCCTGTGCCTGTTCTCAGAAGCAAAGATCTCCCACTGAAACATGCTGCACTGCACATTCCAGGTGGGAAAGGAGGAAAACAGATACTAGAGGATGGACAGCAAGCCACGATGGCAAGCAATTTACTAGCCAAGCAGAAGACAGTCATAGTCTTGTGCATATCCTTTCAGCTGCTTCACTGGCACTACTTCATTCAGTGAGGTGACCAACAGAGGCTTGCACATCTCCAGCCAGAGATCTACTGTCTCACATCTGAAACACCACTCAACCTTCCTCCTCAAAGATTTAAAGATGCAAAAAACACCCAACCTATCGCTGTAAGGATTGCATAATGGCAACCCCTGCTTATCAGAAGACCTGGAGCACAGGTGACTGCAGCCTGGTATCACTGAAGTAACATCACTCCCATTCTGCCCCAGGTGAAGAACTGCAAGCGCAGTGAACACAAACCTTATGGAAACCATGAGGATATGTCAGTTCAGCTTTTTCACTACTGTCTGCATTTTCTATAGCAGAAGTCCCTTCAGCATAGCTTGTAGGTGCAGACCTGGCTGCTGCAAACACAGATCACTTGTCTGCTACCAACTCAAATGTGTCCAATGACAAACGTGTAGTCTTAGCAGGGAGCTCTCAAGAACAAACCACAGGGACTATCTCAAAAAAGCCTTTGTATGACAAGTATAAAACCACCAGAAACGCAACCTGTCCTGCGACCAAAAATGCCAATAATTGTCCCCAGACAAACACACCAGCTCCCCACTAATAGAGCAAAGTGGTGCATGTGTGCAGTCAGGCCTTCCGTTACGGGTGGCATGTGACTGCACAAAAACTGAGAAGTTCCCTCAGCCAGGAAGACAGCTATTTCCTTTGCATAGGGCCATCATCAATTAGTCACCTCAGTGCCAAGAAGCATTTGTCATATATAAAGGCTCTCTCGCAATACTCTCTTGACTGTATATCTTCTATATTGCCTGAATAATATCAGCTTCAACTGAAGACACTGAAGCTACTTTCCAGCATTTCTGTAGCATTTGTA